GATGATATTTTTGAAAATCTGTATCAACCAGCCTGGGAATCTACCCTTCTTCTGTACTTCTTATGTGAGAAAATAAATTTCCAACTTGAATGAACCGGTTTGAGTAGGGTTAACTGTTATTGGTTGCCAAAACATCCTAAATGATAAAAAAAAGTTCAAGCCCAAAGCCTTGCGCATCAAAGGCAGGCTATAAATGGCAGCTAACATTATTATTCCCGTCCAACCTTGTCCATCCAGTCTCCCCTTACTATCCTCCAATACATTACCAATGCAACATAGATCAAACTATTTCCATCTTTTTTCCGGTCACTCCTATTCTTAAGGGAAGTGACTATTCCCTATTGTAACTATTAGCATAGAATCCAAACTTCATTTCCTAAGTACAGTTTTTATTGCTCACTTGGGGAATTTAGGAACAAGGCTCACATTCATCACTCTGCAATTATGAATTATAGGTTAGGATTCACTCTGTTTAGTTTTACCTACATTTTTTACTCTAATCAAAAAAAAAAATCAGGAAGTATAATTTCAATGGATTACCTTCCAGCAGAAACCTTGGTATTTTACTACCACGAGGCAACCAAACTCCAATAGAATCCTAATAGAAAATGGATCCTTTCAGATTTTTGACAGATAAAACATAAAGTGAATCTTTTTGTTCTATTTATTTCAAGACTGGAGGACAAGACCAAAGACATCACAAAATATGAAGATAGACATATTTTTTGAAATAGGAATCCAGAGACCACATGAATCCCACTGGAAACCATAATGATTTAATAATCAACAGGGTAATAGACTAACAAGTAAAACAAGAATCCTTCCTTTTTAGCCCCCAAAAGTGGCAGAACATGATAAAGCAAATACATCTGAAGAAAAGATTCTCCCCCAAGAGTGACAGTGGCTTACTGAAGCACAGACTTACAAATGGGGGTGGGAGCAGATATGTAACATGAAAAGCCACCAAAAGGTGAATCTAGTTTCCCTTGGGTGAGACAGGGGAATCTCCTGGTAGAAAACCCTGCCCTAACAAGTCTAATAATCACATTCTGCTAAAAGACTTGTAGGCAAGAGTTAGTAAGCAAAGAGCCTCTTGAGGTAGCAGCTACAGAAGAAAGGTAACTGCCAAGATCAATACAGAAACATTGCTCAGCCATTATGCCACCAAGATATTCCTAAGAAACATGAATGATGTAAAGATAGGAATAATGTACGGAAAGTGAAATTGAATTAAGACATGAAACGCTAGAGGAAAGATAAAGAAATAAACTTGCATGGGGCAAATTCTCTACACACTGGATTATTTGGGGGCACTGGCTGCAGGCAGGTGGACATAACTACAGACTGAAACACCCATATGGTTCCCCTGGATTCCATATTCTCTGCAGCTTCTTGCAAGCTTTTCGTTATTCGGCCCCACGTGGTTCTGGAAACCACACAGGTGAGAAATAAATTTTCATCTCTGGCAGTCTTTAATAGTCATGCTTCCCAGCTGTTCAGTAAGGTGTTCCTTCAAGTAATTGCCCTTCAGGGAGTTTGTAGTGAGACAGGGACATGAGCAAACACTACAAACCACCCAACTCGTTCTGCCAGACAGAGTCATTCTCCAACCTGGCCTGGCCAAGAGGCCCTAAAGGCAACTGGATTTCTGAAAGCAGGAATATACTATCCTTTTAAGCAAAACACATTGCTCTAGTGAAATAAATAACTGGAACCTTATTAACAGATCCCACCTGCATGCAGTTGTCGGGAAAGGAGAAGGAGAACAGACTTAAGCTTTGCTGGTAATTAACACACAAAGAGCACAAGAATCTTCTTCAAAGACTGCTAGGCTGTACCGTGTCTGACCTTGGACAGCAGGAGTTAGACCCAAAGAAATACTGCCCTCTTACCATGTGGTCTAACAGGCCTTGGGTTCCAGCAGACACCTGTGGTTACCTACACAAGGCCGTCCCCCTACCCTTCTTCCTCATTGGCAAAGCCCTGATTTTCAGTGATCCCTCCTCAGCGAGCCAGATCTGAGTGTTGTGGCCGGTCACCCAATTCTGTTCCAGGAAAGGCTGGAAACACAGAAAGATTGTCCCTCTTTCTGCCGCTGGATATTGGTATGTGAAGACATGAGCTGTAACCAGCAATCTGAAACCACTTTGGAACCATGAGGGAAACTAACCAACACACTGAGGCTAACAAAGAAATAACTAGAAAGGACCTGGTCTCAATAGTGTCATAGATTCACAGAATTAACCAACTTTGCAGCCATCCCACCCCCAGATCCCAGGTAATGTGAAATAATGTGTCCTCTGGGCCACTTTCAGCTAGCATCCTCTTATTGAAAGCTGAAAATACAGTAACAGATGCTGAACTCTGTCTATCCAAATGTAACCTGCCAAAGATGCAAATTATATCTTGATTAAATGCAAATAAAAATGTTTCTGTTCAAGGAATGTTCTTACTGTTACATGAACAAATGTAACAAATGCAAAGGCAACTCATCTTCCAGATTTATAAATGCTTTGTCATATGCTTAGAACATTAGGCCTCTCCTCAAATTAGCAAACTCAGTGATCATTCTTCAAAATCTCTGTGAGGGCCTCTCCCAGTTTTTTTCAGCACATTTTGTTGTTCCCTAATATTATTTCTGTGTATTTTGTAAATACTTCTACCAAATGGCTTGTAGTTGTGTATCTGTTGCTGTCGCATGTGAGTTCCCTACAAAAGAAATAATATCTGTGATGGTTAATTTTATGTGTCAACTTGACTAGATCACAGGGTACCCAGATATTTGGCTAAACATTATTTTGGGTGTGTCTGTGAGGGTCTTTCTGGATGAGATTAACATTTGAATCAGTGGACTCTGAAGTATATTGCCCTCCCCAGTGTGAGTGGTCATCATCCATCCATTAACGGCATGAATAGACCAAAAGTCAAAGGAAAGGAGAATTCACCCCTTTTCTGTGTGTTTGACCTGAGACATCAGTCTTCTCCTCCCCTGAGATTGGGAATTACACCATCGGCTCCCTTGGTTCTCGGGCGTTCAGAGCTGGACTGAACTACACGAGTGGCCTTCCTGAAGCTCCAGCTTGTAGATGGTGGATTGGGGGCTTCCCAGCCTCCATAATCACATGAACCAATTCCTTATAATAAATCATATATACCCCATTGGTTTGGTTTCTCTAGAGAACTCTAATACAATGTTTCATCTATCTTTATAGCCTTAACATTTAACATAGGAACATTAGTTGGCGTGGCCATTTTAAAATATGGCCCCCCAAATTCCTTCCATTTTGAGGAAAGTCTATACCCCTTCCCTTAAATCTGAACTGGCTTTTACATCAACTGGTAGCTGCATGAGTCAGCCAGCTTGTCATTTAACCCTGCCAAGTCCGCAGATGACTGCGATCCTACAGATATCTGATTGCAACTACAAGAGAGATACCAAGCAAGATCGGCAAGCCCCTCCTAAATTCCTGACCCTTAAAATTGTGAGCACAAAAAATGGTTGTTTTAATCCACCAAGATTTGGGGTCACTGTTACACATTAATAGTAACCAGAACAATTGGTACTAAATATTTAATGAATTTATGAATGAGAGGTAGAAGAGATCTTCCTACCATTAAAAAAAAAAAAATGTTTACGTGTAAGTTCAGGATAACTTTATCCCGTGGCAATTTTTGTGGTCAAAGATACCTTTCCTATCACTCTGTGCATTAAGAGTAAACTCTTACAAAGCTCAATTCATGTATTAAAGTCTAGACATTCTGCTTGGTCCCTGTAGCTTTTACCTCATCTAACTCTCAGAACCAAAGGGGGGACTCATATTTGTCATTACATACTTTAAGCATGAAGAAGTGAAGCTCAGAGAGGCTATAGGTTACCTGTCTCCATGGGTAGCAAATAACTGAGCTGGAATTCCCCCCAGGACTGCCTGTTCCAAATCATGTCTTCTCTTCACCACTGCACACAATCTCTTTAACTAACTTGTACTTTACCCATAACCAGTAAAAACAAAAGTTCAAATAGTTTGGCATATCACTATGTAATACCACAGGGGTGGTATTAGCCTAGGGCAGACCTGGACATTATGCCAAGAACAGATAAAGCTAGAGCCATCAGAGTTCTACTTCTTTTTTTTAAGATTTTATTTATTTGTCAGAGAGAGAGAGCACAAGCAGGGGGAGCAGCAGAGGGAGAGGGAGAAGCAGGCTCCCTGCTGAGCAAGGAGCCCAATGCAGGACTCGATCCCAGGACCCTGGGATCATGACCTAAGCTGAAGGCAGACACTTAACCAACTGAACCACCCAGATGCCCTGGAGTAGGATTTTTCAAACCAAACCCTACTGGATTGTGTTTTGAGAAAGCACACCAGGAGTTCATATTAAAGTGATATGATTTCAATAAATTCCACCTACTAATGCATCCTTTTTTTCTTATGCTGTCTTTATAAATTATTATACTATGAATTATACTTATTATAAACTATAAGGTTAATCCTATAAAAGTACATTTGCTTCTGAGAGAGCATGTGAGACTCACACCAGACAAAAAATCAAGTGCTATCACCTCTCGAATAAAAATTACATCTGACTACCTGAACCTGGTCAAAGATAAACAAAATAGAAAGAAATGCTATTGTCATCCCATCACCTCCATGCCCTTAGTGCCCTTATAGCTATTATTGTATTACTAATGTAGAAGACCATCATTTTAAATGGATCATTGTTACCAGAAGTAAACTCTTATACACCGACATTTTTTAATATATTCTTTGACTTACATGAGCCCTTCAGAGTTGGGATTCAGTACAGTTTCTCCTACAGTATACTTTACTGTCTATTTTTTAAAATTACATGGTATAAGACTAAAAGAAAAAAAAATCTAAAATTCCAGAATTGTGTCATTGTTTTTAATGAAGTTTCCAAAAGGGAAGGGAGGGGCTTAACAAAAAGGAACTAAGCAGTTATATTACCCAGTATATACACATTATAAATCAAACAAGTAGTAAACTGTTTAACATTTATTTCACACCAACCGTACAGAGAATTGTATTGTGTGAATTTCAAAAGGAAAAAAAAATGTAGATATCAAGGTTTTCTTGGATCTAGATCATACTTAATAGCCTGAACAAAATACTCTGGAAGACTAGGCATGTTGTTAAATGATATTGCTTGAAAGTTCATTTTCACCAGTGATGTGCGGCTAACTGTGGTTTATCTGCTCAGTAGCCACTCTCACTGCCTTGACTTCCCTGCCACTAGAATCCACCTGTCGCCAGCCACCCCCCAGATCCTCGCTCTCCCATCCTCCCTTGCAGCTAAGAGTGGTCTGATGGGTTCCAATAGTGTGACCTGAGAGGAAGATCTTCAAGAAACGGTTTTCTTTTCTAATAGGACAGCTGCACAGGGCTGGGTTCTGCCACCCTTCTTGCCTCTGCTGCAGTCCTATGACATGTGATGACTTGATAATGGGAGGCCCCATGTAACCAAAGGGGAAGCCAAGGGCCTAGAAGCCTATGAGCGGGCCTAACACTGAGTCACAATGGTGGAACTTCCTACTTCCAGATTTATTGACATATGGTATTAATTAAGTGTCCTTAACTAAGCCAGTTTTACTTAGTGGCCTATTGCCCTGAAAGTGACCAAACTAAAGCACAATGCACCCTACGGCATCAAGAGTTTCAGTATCTGGCCAATATTCCAATGTGAATGAGGAAAAAATAATAATTATTGATTTTTAAAACATATTTTAGAAGAATTATAAAATGAAATAATGGCAGTGCAACTGTCTTTTTTTTCAAAATGGCAGCTGCATGTAAAGTGAGAATCTGACTCCTGGCCCATAGTGTATACTTGGCTCAGTCATCTCCATGCATTCACAACAGGGCCTTCTTACAGCAGACACAGCAAAGATACTTCCTTCTGACAGCATCCTTTCCCTAGTGGTAGAGAAAATAGAAGAGGATGGTGGTTAATAGAGTTTAATGTTAATATGGAAGAATATAAAAATAATCTCACCCATTTTAATTCTAATAGAAATTAAAGCAGGACCAACTGACCTCTACCTTCTCTTCCATCCGTGTAGTGAGTGATTCAAAACATAATTTTCGGAAAGATTTTAAAACACCAAGAAACCCCAATATTACCCTATCAAGTTTTATATTCTCCAATGATTTAATACTTGGTTGTTGACCTGAAAGAAAATAAGCTTTTAGAAGAAACAATTGTTGTTTTATATAATGTCTAAGAACTTTCATTAGGTACTAAAGGGTTCTACATTTAATCTTGAATGAATCATTTTATCGATGTTGGTACGTGGGCCCACACTGGTATCAAGATTTTTATATTGGATTTTTTTTTTTAAGATTTTATTTATTTATTTGACAGAGAGAGACACAGCGAGAGAGGGAACACAAGCAGGGGGAGTGGGAGAGGGAGAAGCAGG